AATTATCAATATAAACTGACATTTTATCATAATACATATATACACTTCATGATGCAAAGAACAATTAAAATTGCATGTTAATGCTGTTATTTCTATATGTAATTACTGAATATGCGGTTGGCGGTTGTTTGTGCTTCACGTTCGTCGTATGTCTGTGTTTGTTTACATTATTTCAAAGAGCGCCACAGCATCACATGGGGGGGCGCTGGTGGAGTGGTACAGCTCTTGCCTCGCAAGCAAGATGTCACAGATTCGATTCCCGGGCCTGTAGAAGTTGCTTGGACACTCTTCCTAGTCCCCTTGGTCCCTGTTCACCTAGCAGCAAAGTAGGTACCTGCTGTAAATCGAAAGTTGCGAATTCGTATTCAGGAACAAGTTGTTGGAGCTTCCAATAACTTCCAACAATCTGTTAATTCAACAGATATTTTATGTAAAAATATATACAGAATCTCTGTAAATTATACAGAAAATGTTTGGCAACAATATAACCAGTGAATTTTCTGTAAATCTTACAAGATTTTTTTAACAGTGTAGGTCATCAACAAGATCTGTGTTTATCAACAGTTGCTCTGATATCGACAGTGGACCTCCTTGAACTTGTTCCCTCCATTGATACTTCACATGACAGAACTTCAGAAAAGTAGCAATGAAGTAACAAAACAAATACGTTAGTGTCATCAGATATAACCTTAATGGTATCAGTTCTTCTAAAGGCCAAGTGAACCACCCTCTGTACAATGATTACATCTGCTTCTTCATGGCTGGTCCCATGGTCCATCGTCTTGTGGAGTCACCTCTGAAAATCTCCAATGGAATTGGATCAGGTCCTGTCAGTAGAAGCTTTGTGCCACTATGTGGCAGCTGACCAACATTAATCGGTAGGTATTTTGGAATCAAACGAATGAGCCTGACTTTGATTTCTGTAACAGATAGAACGACTTTTTGTGGAGGCAGTGGTGTGGTCAGTGTTAGGTGGAGTCCCCTACTTGCATCTCTTCCAGCTTTTGACTGTCGTGTACAACTGTTGATACTTTTTTCATAGTAGAGGTCAAATATAACATTATTTTCACACTTCTGTAAGACATTGTGGACGAAGTTTTCAACAGTTCCATTTGAAGGCCATGGTATCACCCACAACATGGCACAGCCATCTATTGTGATCACATCTGCTGGTGTTACTAAGTGACTAGAAATTTTCACTTGTAATTTCCTCTTCAACATTGACTTTGTATTTGTGATGCGTATATCATCATTATCTTCAAACAATGATAAAGGTACAGGAGATAGTTCATATCTCAAGACTTTGCTCAGGTCAATAACCACGTGCATTCTGCCAGCCAAGGACTCTGGTGTATACCAAACTAGCGTCGACTACTGATTTTTGTTCAACGTTGATTGACTTTCTACAAGCAGAAATAGTAACTACTTTCTTGACAAGTGGGTGGGTAATCGGATTCATCTGGCCAGTTTGTTTCAATGTGTTATACTTTTTTTTTTCCTATGGCAACAGATTGTTCCACATTAACAATTGTAGGAGCACTCTTTCCTGTTGCAATATTGACGATATCACCCTTAGGTAAGTTGCTTGCAATGGGTGAATGTAAGTTTCAATCTCATTTCTCAGCTTTTGTCTGTCTTTTGCATCGGTTGCTATATTAGGCAGTAAGCATTTGTAACGTACTTTAAAAACCCTGCCAACTTTGGTTTCTCAATGGTTTATCTTTAACAACATGTTAATTAATGACACACATTTGCCCTCTTTCTTAAAAAAAATGGGCATATAATTAAGAACCCGAAATTTGCAAAAAAGAAAAGAAAAAAAAGATACATATCTTACAAAGTACTTCAGTATTATTTTGATCCTTATGCCATAAACTGCAAAATAATACTTGCTATACATAATGAAATAATATGAATACATGATTTATAGACAGGGGCGGATTAAGGTCTTGAGGGCCTTGGGCACTTATGATTGGGGGTCCTTGTGGTCCTGTCTGTTAATGCAATCTCATAGTGTTCAAAATAAATAATATGAAATTTCTTTCCTGTTCTCCACCAAAGCGCCACTTTGAGTAGTGTGCCCTCTGGGTGTAGGGAATAAGTGTTCCTAAAGTCGGCAGCAGTTGGGCGAATAACTGCCATCTGATGTCTCGGAGAGTGGAAGCATTGATGTCCTCAATCCCGGTGTAGAGTGAGCACACATACCGCTCCATCTAGTGAAGGACCCAATTAACGTAATGTAACCTAACCTAACCAACGTCATTATAAATATCTAACTAACGCTGTTTAAAACCTAAACTACAACCTGAAAAAATTATAACTAAAGAAATGGATGACACATTATAATAATCATAAAATAAGGCTCCTCACCTATTACTCTTTCAAGCGTGTTAATCTAAGATAATATAGTGAGAAAAAAAATAATCATCCTTCTCTTCTTCCTTTTATGAATTTTCCTGCTTTCTTTAATTACCTCCCTCTCTGATGAGGAACTTGCAACGCATACCACCCTCCCATCCCCACCACAAACGGCCCTCCCCCAAGACGAGCATTCCCCGTCTCCACCCCATGCCACTTACCGTGCAGAAAGGTACCCAGCCAGGCGCAATGGCAAGGTGGTGGAGTCGATGATTACTTTTGTCTGCGACTGTACTTAGGAATATCAGCTACAACAAAAAATATACACTTAAGGAACCGGGTTGGGGATTCCAGACAGTTGTACCAATCATTCCAAAATACTCGTTGTTCTCTTTTTTTACTTCTGGATGGTTTTCTTTTCTGAATTACATGAATCGTAGAAGGGGAGGGTTGGGGGTTCGGGGTGATTATATAGGAATTCCCCCAACTCGATTTTGGGGTGGGGGGTCCATAACCATCTTCAACCCTAGGATCTATGCCGTTGCTAATGGTAATGTTTAGAAGTTGTATCTTTTTGATAATCACCCCATTTTCCACGTAGTTGATTCCGGTTTTAAGCTATCATTTTGACAGTCTGCTAAACACGAAAATTACTAAATCGTTCTGACCTTCCGTCTCGTCTCGCCAGTGGATTCACCACATACCAGATTGAGCAGAAGGTGAAAGTGAGTGTTATTGTGTTTCCAATAATCGACTAATAATTCGACTAAGATCAGAGCTGTTGAGAAATGTGGGATTGTTGAAGGTGCTTTGTTATTTTGCATATTGAATGTTTTAGGTCACTGAAGATTTTCAGTTTGACGGCCCCTTAATGATGTTTCTTAATCCCGTTGGGACATGTGATATGCCTCCTTACTGTCGATACAACCTAGGTGCATCCTCTTGCATTTCATGACATTGAATATTTTCGGCCATTCACACTTATGTATGGAAGCGTATATAGCATCTGACATTAATTACCACACTGCTTGTGGTCATGACGCTAGGACGTTCCTCCGAATTCCTTACTCTCCCAGTTTAATTTTCAGCCTCTCATGAGGTACGCTATATTATAAATATAGCTACCCCGGGCCAGAATCTAATTCCACAAATCTAACACTTACAGCAATTGCGTCAAGCAGGGGCGTGCAGCAAAAAACCATGCTGGCATTCCTTTACAGGGTTGTTTCGTAGTAGATGTCCCATCACATCTTGTATAATGCCCTCTAGTATTTACACACTTTGTTAGTCAACTCAGCTGACTATAATTGCTTGCGTAGAGGTGACCCACATATGATCATTTTCCAGTCGCTATAGGGACCTTTTGCTTATCCATGCATCTGTAGAACATGTCGATTCGAAGGGGCTCTATAAGCTCGTTGAATAATTCCTTTATCAGACCAGATAAAATATATGCATGAGAGGTACAACTATCAATTATTATTGGCATAATATATTTGTACGTGCCTTGGATGTGCAGTACTTGTTTTATTCAAATACTCGTAAAAAAAAGACGAAACCATGTATCCCTGAAGCTGACACGGACGCCAATAGGCGAAAAGTTGTAGTCAGAGGAGGTAGGCTGCCAATGGTTGGTGAGGTATATTACAAAATATTTCATGTGTCCTGTCCGCCCAAGAGAATAATAAAAAAAGACGAACACACATTTTGTGTCATATTCATACTAGAAAAAATAACTTGTCGCAGGAAATTCATTTTATCACAGGCAGCCTGTAACTTATCCCTATAGAACAACAACGGCGACAAGCATTGTTTTATTATGCAGCTACGGAACAATTTATTTATGACTCGCAATGATGAATTAATAAAAAACATGGGCGGCGAGTGTAAGGTTACTACTTTAATCTGGAGGAGTTGTGTGTACGGTGTTGACGTGCTGGCCGAGGCTTTCCTCAAACTCCCTTAAGTAATTTATTAAAATGTGATACTGAATACTTTTAAAATTAAATTTAGCTATTTTACGTGGCTCGATATTTTATTTAATAAAACTATCCTCATTACCGTCTATGAACCTTGATTTGACCATGGAAATTGGCGCAAGCCAATCAGTCGAAAATGATAAAATTATGTCTGAGCGATAAACTCGAGGAACGACGACAATTCGTGGAAAACCGCAGGAAATAGGGGAGTTGACGCAAAAAGTGTTAGTGTGACACCGCCAGAATTTATTTGTTCCTTTTTGCCGCAAGGGTGGCCCGTCGACAACTTCTTCGCCTTCACCACTGTTGTCGCCACAAGACATGCAACTAATGTTGGATTAATGTAATAATCTGATTTCATGTTTAAATCATTAAACATAGAGTAAACAGTTATAAGTTTTAGATACGAGTGGATGAGTGGATAGGATAACAATTAACTTGTGTATATTATTCATTAAAAAAAATGCTGAAGCTACAGCTCCTGTGGGTTATGAACAAGATGACATTAGTAGGCAAATTTGAATAATTATCTGGGGAAAATATTTCATATATGATATTTCGAGATAGTCAGGTGATGTGGCTTCATTACCGATATCATTCAACACCACCTATGAGATTATCATCACTAAAACACTGCCATCACCATCGAGAATACTAACTCACCCGTCCTGACTGTGCTGACGCGTCCTCCGAGACGGTCCAGGGCTTCCAGCAGTACCACGTTCCTCACGGGATTGATTGTATTCAGGAACTTGTTCATGGCCGAGAGTCCAGCAACGCCGCCTCCGACCACCACTACGTCACGCTCCTCGGCATCATTCAACCTGCAATGTCATTGGGCTCTAAGAAGTGTTCAACCGATGTTTTAGATATGAGTTGAAGCTGATGGGAAGTGGAATCGGCCTAAAATATTTTAATGACAAAGACAGATTTCAGACATGTTTGGGAACAGTCCCGCCATCATTAACAATGTACAGCATTATAACTTTACTTTGTTTGTTGTAAGAAATTGTCATGAAGGCTAAACGAAGTGTTACTGTATGCAGACGTTTCTCTCTGTAATGAATCTTACTTCTCTCCCGGGAGTCACGTTCAATTCCCGTTTATGCAGGTTATCATGATAAATAATAATGGCTGCCCCTCGTGTGAGGCGGATAGCTGGCCCGAGGGCCACCTAGGCGTGAATTTGTTTAAGGTGTAGAAGCTGTCGCCAACATAATAAGCACACCCCGAATTAACGAGCTGAGTGACCCAGTGTCAAGGAATAGTCCGAGAAGACTGGACAACTCGCCAACTGCACTGGCTAACCATTACCCCGGAACACGATCCGCAAATCGTTTAATATCCAGGTCCCTAATTACTGCTGGGTAGACAGAGGCAAATGGCGTAAAGAAACTTGCCCATTATTTCACCCTGCCCAGGGATCGAACTGGGTAATTAATTTCGCTCTGTTAATGCAATCTATCATCTTCCCTCTTTTACCTTTTCTTTGTATGTGTGCGACTCTGTAATTCCGAGTATAAATTCTTATATTAAGAATAGCTGCATGCCCTTTAGCCATAGTTTGAGTTTCTGAACACAACCAGTACGATTCTATGGCAACGACTACCCGTACAGTCGTGACGGAGTACACTTGTCTCGTGCGAGGTGGAAGACGTTGTCTGCATCCTTGGAGCATGAAATTGTTACTCCAAAGAGGGGGTTTCGCCAGTAGAGAAAAGTCGGGGTAAGTGGGAGTCAAAAAACAAGCTGGTCCAGGGAAGTAAAATTGGTTACTCAAGACAAGGGGTAAAACAGGACCAGGGAAGGGTAGGTTTAAATGTATACTATACAAACAGTAGGAGCGTTCAAAATAAAATAGACTTGCTGAGAGCGGTTGTATGTACCGAGAAAGTAGACGTCATAGCAATCACCGAAACTTGGATGAATCTGGCGAGCAAATTTTTTTTATCAGAGTACCACAAGGACAGGGAAGGTAGGAAGGGGGGAGGGGTCGCACTCTTCGTCAAGGATACATTAAAATGTTGTATTAATAATTCAATAAAGGGTGAAATAGGAACCGAGTCTGTATGGGTAGAAATCACGGAAGGACGAGAAAAACTAATTATGGGAGTGATTTACAAGCCCCCAAGTCTTGGGAAGGAAGCAGCTCAGCCCATACAGTATGGCAGGAAATGAGTAGGGCAGCAAAATATAACAACATATGCATTATGGGGGATTTCAACTTCAGAAATATTGACTGGGACAGCATTGTAGGTGACTATGAATCTGAAAACTTCCTAGACGCAGTACAGGACAATTTTTTGAAACAACTAATTACAGAACCTACTAGAGGTGACAATATATTAGACCTAGTAATAACAAATAAAGAAAATATTATCAGAGATATCACAGTTGGGGAAGAACTAGGTAACAGTGATCACAGAGAAATCAGGTTCACCCTAAATTGGGAAACGAAAAACAATGACAATATGGTCAGAGTCCCAAACTTTCGGTTGGCGGATTATCAGGGGTTAAGAAGGTACCTAGGTGAGGTCACCTGGGAACAGTCACGTCAGTCCCCAGTAGGAAGGGGTGAGGTCATAGATGACACAATAATTGATCATGACACAACAATTGATCATGACTATAATATATTCACTAGTATACTACATAAAGCACAAGAACAAAATATACCATACAGAAATATTAGGTTAAATAAGAATGAGCCAAGGTGGATGACCAGAAAACTTAAACATGACATAGGAATAAAGAAAGGAATATATAAGAAATTAAAGGGAGGGGAGGAGCAGCTCAGAAATATGTATAATGAACTATCTAGGAATGTTAAGAAAAATGTAAGGAAAGCAAAGAGAGACTATGAAATCAAAATAGCAAGAGAATCCAAGGCGAATCCCAAGGGATTTTTCCAGGTATATAGAACAACGGGCAAGGACAAAGTTGGGCCTTTAAAGTCAGGGAGGGGAGAAGTGATAAATGGCAGTGAGGAAATAAGCAAGGCATTGAACTGCTACTTCTTATCAGTTTTCACAGAAGTAATTCGCGAGGAAATTCCAGAGGTGGAACTGATATTTAAGGGAAAGGAAGAAGAGAAATTAAAGAATATCACTATCAGAAAAGAGGATGTTCTTAAGAAGATAAATAAACTAAAGAACACAAAATCCACAGGGCCGGATGAAATTTTCCCTCGAGTCTTGAATGAGTGTAGGGAGCAGATTAGCCGACCCCTCTTAAACTTATTTACAAAATCATTAGACACCGCAGTTGTGCCAGACTTGTGGAAACAGGCAAACGTAGTACCCATATTCAAAAAGGGAGACAGAGCATCAGCGTCAAATTACCGGCCGATCAGTTTGACGTCAGTAGTGGGGAAATTTCTTGAATCAATTATAACAGATAACATCCGATCGCATTTAGAGAAAAGCAAATTAATCTACGACTCTCAACATCGGTTTACAAAGGGAAAATCTTGTCTAACAAATCTCCTGACATCTTTTAGGAAAGTCTTCGAGGTAGTAGATAATGACGAAAATTACGATGTTATTTACTTAGACTTTAGCAAAGCATTTGACAGAGTACCGCATCAGAGACTTCTAAGAAAAATTAAGGCTCATGGTATCGAGGGGAAAGTTTTAAATTGGATAAAATCATGGCTCACCGATAGAACGCAGAGGGTCAGCATAGATGGTTCTAAATCTGAGTGGGGTCGAGTAACCAGTGGGGTTCCCCAGGGGTCAGTACTAGGCCCACTCTTGTTCATAATCTATATAAACGATCTAGATACTGGAATCAGCAGTGACATAAGCAAGTTTGCGGATGACACCAAAATAGGGCGGCAGATTAATTCAGGGCAGGATGCAAATGCATTACAGGAGGATCTAAATAAACTGCAGGGGTGGTCTGAAAAATGGCAAATGAAATTCAACACCAGCAAGTGCAGCATACTTAATATTGGAAGAACAAATACTGTCGATGTATACAGCCTTAACAACATCAACCTAGAGAAGTCGACTTGTGAAAGAGACCTAGGGGTACTTGTAAGCCCGGACCTACAGCCTAGAAAACAGTGCGTTAATGTTCGAAATAAGGCAAACAGTGTATTGGGTTTTATATCTTGAAGTGTAAGTAATAAGAGTGCAGAGGTCTTATTGCAACTATATCTTGCGCTAGTCAGGCCCCACCTCGATTATGCGGTTCAGTTCTGGTGCCCTTATTATAGAATGGAAATCAATTCACTAGAGTCGGTGCAGCGAAGAATGACGAAAATGATTCCGGGACTTAGAAACCTTCCATATCAGGATAGGTTAAAGAAACTAAACTTGCATTCCCTAGAAAGACGAAGAGTGCGGGGAGATATGATAGAAGTATTCAAGTGGGTGAAAGGAATCAATAAGAGTGATATAGATAAAGTTTCTTATAATATCCGAGCAGGATAAGACTCGGATCAACGGATTCAAGTTGGATAAGTTTAGGTTTAGGAGGGAGATAGGAAGGATCTGGTTTACAAATAGGGTGGTGGACGAGTGGAACAAGCTTAGCAACTTTGTAGTAAGTGCTGGAACGCTGGAAAGTTTCAAAGGGAGGCTGGATAGATTCATGGATGATAGAGAGTGGTAGTAACTCTTGACAGGAGCTGCCAGGCACAGGCCAACCGGCCTATTGCAGACTCCTTATTTTCTTATGTTCTTATGTACTACAGTACACTGTACTCACCAGTCGTTAAAGTTGCCCTCCACAGTGTCGCACGGATGACCAAACACTGTAAGAGTAGATACAGGTGGGTTAGGGAGACACAAACAGAGACCAAGTACATAACTAAAGATAAATAACTGGTGTCATCCGCAAACTTGCTTATGTCACTGCTGATCTCAGTATCTAGATCGTTTATGTAGATTATGAACAAGTGTGGGCCCAGTACTGACCCCTGGGGAACCCCACTTGTTACACGACCCCACTCAGATTTAACACCATCTACGCTGACCCTCTTGAGTTCTATCGGTGAGCCATGATTTTACCCAATTTAAAACTTTCCCATCGATACCATGAGCCTTAACTTTTCTCAGAAGCTTCTGATGCGGTACTCTGTCAAACGCTTTGCTAAAGTCTAATTAATTAACGTCGTAATGTTGAAGCAAGTTTGATTAGAGAACTGAATTCTATAAAACTTAGTGATGGTCTGTACAAAACTGATAATATGTTACACAAATTTATTTGTCTGTGGCCATGGTTAAAAATTCTTTGAAAGCATTCGGAGTAGATGTAGGATACTGTAGCTCAGGGGTTTTCAAACAATGGGTCCCGACCCTTCAGTGGGTCGCGAAATAAATAAATTGGGTCGCTAAATAAAAATGGGTCGCGAAAAAAAATAAGAAAAAAAAAATAAAATGGGTCGCGAAAATAAATAAGAAAATAAAAATAAATGCACCATAATTTAGGCTTGGTTATTGTAATGTACACTCCACAGTCTAGGAAGCGACTGCAAGGAGAGCATTTCCTGATTCTTTCTTTACCTCTCATGTCATCCGTTTTGCTCAGAAAAACTCGTAATCGTAGTTTTTTGCCCCGTAATCTAACCTAAGCTAACCTAACTTAACCTAACAGTGTTTGTCTTTGATTTACTCATTTCATATCATTACACTTAGGTTTAATGGGTCGCAATTCAAATTGTTGTTCTGGCTGTGGGTCGCAGTAAAAAAAGTTTGAAAAACACTGCTGTAGATGATTAGTGGGTCTCATATTTTTTACCTGACTTATTATGACTAGTTACCTACCCCTTTCTTTTAAGCTCATATATTTGCGGTGGTGTTGGTGTGTCGATTAGTGGATGTCAAGTTTTTGAACTGACCTCATGTTTTGTAAGGTCACCCTGTGTACATAAGCCTCTCTCAGTCCGTGTAATTCAGCTCCCTCTGAAGATGTCTTGAATAAAGACGAATGCTAAGGTGCCCCATTGTTTCCTTTTTTCCTGTGTGATTTTATCAGACTCCTCGTAAATTTATTTACAAAATCATTAGACACGGGAGTTGTGCCAGACTTGTGGAAACAGGCAAATGTAGTACCCATATTCAAAAAAGGAGAAAGAAATTCAGTGTCAAATTACCGGCCGATCAGTTTGACGTCAGTAGTGGGGAAATTTCTTGAATCAATTATAGCAGATAGCATATGATCGCATCTAGAGAAAAGCAAATTAATCTACGACTCTCAACATGGGTTTACAAAGGGAAAATCTTGTCTAACAAATCTGCTGACGTTTTTTAGGAAAGTCTTCGAGGTAGTAGATAATGACGAAAATTACGATGTTATTTACTTAGAGTTTAGCAAAGCATTTGACAGAGTACCGCATCAGAGGCTTCTGAGAAAAATTAAGGCTCATGGTATCGAGGGGAAGTTTTAAATTGGATAAAATCATGGATCACCGATAGAACGCAGAGGATCAGAATAGATCCTTGACCACCGAAGGGTCAAGACGTACCTGGCGCTCCTCTCGGAGCAGCCAGGTCAACTGTTAAGTTGGCCCATACCATCCCCCTCCCCTGAACCCTCCTCCCCACCGGAATATCAACAAGTTCTCGCCAGAAGTTACAATTTCATTTAGGAAAGGAATGGAACCAGTGTTAAACAGAGGTGAACAGTGGTGAACAGTGCTTAAGTCAGTGAGAACAACTCAACAGTAACAGTCGTACCCAAGTTAACCTTCACACAGTGAGGTCCCAGGTACCCAGTGATAACGGCCCGCGAGACCCAACAACAACCAGCGATGTGTTAATCCGTCTACGATAGGAAGGCCGAAGACCAAACCTCACTCGTATAACACCATCTGTGAGGGAATTACTACACCACATGTCCCTCAGAACACCATATGTGAGGGAATTACTACACCACGTCAAGTCCCTTATCACACCATCTGTGAGGGAATTACTACACCACGTGAGATCCCTCATAACACCATCTGTGAAGGAATTACTACACCACGTGAGATCCCCCATAACACCATCTGTGAGGGAGTTACTACACCACGTGAGGTCCCTCATAACACCATCTGTGAGGCAATTACTACACCACGTGAGGTCCGTCATAACACCATCTGTGAGGGAATTACTACACCACGTGAGGTCCCTCATAACACCATCTGTGAGGTAATTACTACACCACGTGAGACCCCTCATAACACCATCTGTGAGGTAATTACTACACCACGTGAGACCCCTCATAACACCATCTGCGAGGGAATTACTACACCACGCCAGGTCCCTCATAACACCATCTGAGGGAACTACTACCCGATGTGAGTTCCTCCTAACACCATCTGGGAGGGAGTTACTACACTACGAGTTTGCTGTTCAACACCTACATTAATGTGTATGTTCACTGTATGTTCCTTTACCTTTTTCTAATGAAGGCTTTTGTTAAACCACCAATGTATGTAATAAGTCATTTATGTCCAATGTATATTTTCAGCCTTCGGGCTGCAGAATTTTTTCAATAAACCGTTAATTATTATTATTATTATTATTGTTATTAAATCTGAGTGGGGCCGTGTAACCAGTGGGGTTCCCCAGGGGTCAGTACTAGGCCCACTCTTGTTCACAATCTACGTAAACGATCTAGATACTGAGATCAGCAGTGACATAAGCAAGTTTGCGGATGACACCAAAATAGGGCGGCAGATTAATTCAGGGCAGGATGCAAATGCATTACAGGAGGATCTAAATAAACTGCAGGGGTGGTCTGAAAAATGGCAAGTGCAGCGTACTTAATATTGGAAGAACAAACACTGATAATGTATACAGCCTTAACAACATCAACCTAGAGAAGTCGACTTGTGAAAGAGACATAGGCGTACTTGTAAGCCCGGACCTACGGCCTAGAAAACAGTGCGTTAATGTTCGAAATAAAGCAAACAGGGTATTGGGTTTTATATCTAGAAGTGTAAGTAACAAGAGTGCAGAGGTCTTATTGCAACTCTATCTTGCGCTAGTCAGGCCGCACCTCGATAATGCGGTTCAGTTCTGGTGCCCTTATTATAGAATGGATATCAATTCACTAGAGTCGGTGCAGCGAAGAATGACAAAAATGATTCCGGGAATTAGAAACCTTCCATATCAGGATAGGTTAATTAAACTTAACTTGCATTCCCTAGAAAGACGAAGAGTGCGAGGAGATATGATAGAAGTATTTAAGTGGGTGAAAGGAATCAATAAAGGGGATATAGATAAAGTTCTTATAATATCCGAGCAGGATAGGACTCGGAGCAACGGATTTAAGTTGGATAAGTTTAGGTTTAGGAGGGAGATAGGAAGAAACTGGTTCACAAATAGGGTGGTGGACGAGTGGAACAAGCTTAGCAACTTTGTAGTAAGTGCTGGAACTCTGGAAAGTTTCAAAAGGAGGCTAGATAGATTCATGGATGATACGAGAGTGGTAGTAACTCTCGACGGAGCTGCCATGCACAGGCCAACCGGCCTATTGCAGACTCCTTATTTTCTATATATATATATATATATATATATATATATATATATATATATATATATATATATATATATATATATATGTGTGTGTGTGTATGTGTGTGTGTGTGTGTGTGTGTGTGTGTGTGTGTGTGTGCGGGGGAAGCTTTTGTTCTACGCGGCCCTCTGCTTTACTATTGGTTTTACATTCTACGCATCAAGCACGATCCCGTCAAATATAGCAGGATATAACGTGGCGGAATTCGACATAAATCTCGCTTCTTACCTGCATGCAGTAACAGTAACATCAAAAAAACCATCATTGCAGGGTCGGCAGCAAGTCGTAGCCCAGGCACAGCAGTGCTGAGTATCTTCACGCCACAAGTGCTGCGGGCTTACTGATTCACAGTCTCCACCCACACCGTTATATACTGTTAGCGGAACCTTCCCCGGCGTTCCCTAAAATTACTTGACGAAATTATGTGATCAGTAATAGTTTTAAGCAGGCATTAGGTTGGTTAGAACTAAATGAAATTCATGAATTTGTTTATTCTAACACTATTTAGCGTTTCAATCTTTCAAGTGGTGAGCGCGCAAGGGATTTGACATATTTGTGACCCACTAAAATAAGTATCCATAAAAAAATAGCGCAGCTATTTAGGGCATGGAGAACTTGCCATTCCTTAATGTCAATTTTAACTTCAGGTAATATTTCCAGAAATGTCATTCTATTTTAGGGGTCCACCACGAGGGTATTATGGCATTTTTTCTGAGATAAAGATGCAATAAATACACTACCAATAAAATAGCAAAATGAGGGGCAAAAACAACGCCTCTGTTTGAACGCGTATCAGAGCAGCAGTTCTACTTGACTTTGGGGTTGACAATATATTTTAAGTATTTCCGGCATTGCTAGAGATAATATAGGGGTTTGGTCCAGTGGCTATGCTTCCCGCCTGCCATTCGTAGTGGTCTGGGTTTGACACTCAGAGGTGATTATTGTTCACATGGATTTATCTGTGAATATTATAGTCCACCAAGTATCGTTAGCCATGTGGTCGATGTGATTCGAGGTTTTCCAAGCACTGTTCCTCGACCTGTTTCTGATCGGTTGGTATTTCTACGTCCGCGACCTTTGAGCAGCAATGAGTTCATACGTTTTCGAACGATGTGAATCATCCGAGGTCTCAAATCATAATGGACGAGGTGACGTTTCTGGGTATATATATATATATATATATATATATATATATATATATATATATATATATATATATATATATATATATATATATATATATAAACATAAGAAAATAAGGAGTCTGCAATAGGCCGGTTGGCCTGTGCATGGCAGCTCCTGTCGAGAGCTACTACCACTCTCGATCATCCATGAATCTATCTAGCCTCCTTTTGAAACTTTCCAGAGATCCAGCACTTACTACAAAGTTGCTAAGCTTGTTCCACTCGTCCACCACCCTATTTGTGAACCAGTTTCTTCCTATCTCCCTCCTAAACCTAAACTTATCCAACTTAAATCCGTTGCTCCGAGTCCTATCCTGCTCGGATATTATAAGAACTTTATCTATATCCCCTTTATTGATTCCTTTCACCCACTTAAATACTTCTATCATATATCCCCGCACTCTTCGTCTTTCTAGGGAATGCAAGTTAAGTTTCATTAACCTATCCTGATATGGAAGGTTTCTAAGTCCCGGAATCATTTTTGTCATTCTTCGCTGCACCGACTCTTGTGAATTGATATCCATTCTATAATAAGGGCACCAGAACTGAACCGCATAATCGAGGTGCGGCCTGACTAGCGCAAGATATAGTTGCAATAAGACCTCTGCACTCTTGTTACTTACACTTCTAGATATAAAACCCACTACTCTGTTTGCTTTATTTCGAACATTAACGCACTGTTTTCTAGGCCGTAGGTCCGGTCTTACAAGTACCCCTAGGTCTCTTTCAAAAGTCGACTTCCCTAGGTTGATGTTGTTAAGGTTGTAAACATTATCAGTGTTTGTTCTTCCAATATTAAGTACGCTGCACTTGCCATTTTTCAGACCACCCCTGCAGTTTATTTAGATCCTCCTGTAATGCATTTGCATCCTGCCCTGAATTACTCTGCCGCCCTATTTTGGTGTCATCCGCAAACTTGCTTATGTCACTGCTGATCCCAGTATCTAGATCGTTTACGTAGATTATGAACAAGAGTGGGCCTAGTACTGACCACTGAGGAACCCCATTGGTTACACGGCCCCACTCAGATTTAATAATTATAATAAAAATAATAATAATTAACGGTTTATTGAAAAAATTCTGCAGCCCGAAGGCTGAAAATATACATTGGACATAAATGACTTATTACATACATTGGTTGTTTAACAAAAGCCTTCATTAGAGAAAGGTAAAGGAACATACAGTGAACATACAGATTAATGTAGGTATTGAACAGCAAATTCGTAGTGTAGTAACTCCCTCCCAGATGGTGTTAGGAGGAACTCACGTGGGGTAGTAGTTCCCTCAGATGGTGTTATGAGGGACCTGGCGTGGTGTAGTAATTCCCTCGCAGATGGTGTTATGAGGGGCCTCACGTGGTGTAGTAATTACCTCACAGATGGTGTTATGAGGGACCTCACGAGGTGTAATAATTACCTCACAGATGGTGCTATGAGTGGCATCACGTGGTGTAGTAACTCCCTCACAGATGGTGTTATGAGGGGCATCACGTGGTGTAGTAATTCCCTCACAGATGGTGTTATGAGGGACCTCACGTGGTGTAGTAATTCCCTCACAGATGGTGTTATGAGGGACCTCACGTGGTCTAGTAGCTCCCTCACAGATGGTGTTATGAGGGGCCTGACGTGGTGTAGTAATTCCTTCACAGATGGTGTTATGAGGGACCTCACGTGGTGTAGTAATTCCCTCACAGATGGTGTGAAGAGGGACTTGACGTGGTGTAGTAATTCCCTCACATATGGTGTTCTGAGGGACATGTGGTGTAGTAATTCCCTCACAGATGGTGTTATATAAGTGAGGTTTAGTCTTAGGCCTTCCTATCGTAGACGGATTAACACATCGCTGGTTGTTGTTGGGTCTCGCTGGCCGTTATCACTGGGTACCTGGGACCTCACTGTGTGAAGGTTAACTTGGGTACGACTGTTACTGTCGAGTTGTTCTCACTGACTTAAGCACTGTTCACCACTGTTCACCTCTGTTTAACACTGGTTCCATTCCTTTCCTAAATGAAATTGTAACTACTGGCGAGAACTTGTTGATATTCCGGTGTGGAGGAGGGTTCAGGGGAGGGGGTTGGTATGGGGCAACTTAACAGTTGACCTGGCTGCTCCGAGAGGAGCGCCAGGTACGTCTTGACCCTTCGGTGGTCAAGGATCTATTCTGACCTTCTGCATTCTATCGGTGAGCCATGATTTTATCCAATTTAAAACTTTTCCCTCGATACCATGAGCCTTAATTTTACTCAGAAGCCTCTGATGCGGTACTCTGTCAAATGCTTTGCTAAACTCTAAGTAAATAACATCGTAATTTTCGTCATTATCTACTACCTCGAAGACTTTCCTAAAAAACGTCAGCAGATTTGTTAGACAAGATTTTCCCTTTGTAAACCCATGTTGAGAGTCGTAGATTAATTTGCTTTTCTCTAGATGCGATCAGATGCTATCTGCTATAATTGATTCAAGAAATTTCCCCACTACTGACGTCAAACTGATCGGCCGGTAATTTGACACTGAATTTCTGTCTCCTTTTTTGAATAAGGGTACAATATTTGCCTGTTTCCACAAGTCTGGCACAACTGCGGTGTCTAATGATTTTGTAAATAAATTTACGAGGGGTCTGCCAATCTGTTCCCTACACTCTTTCAAGACTCGAGGAAAAATTTGGTCGGGCCCTGGGGATTTTGTCTTCTTTAGTTTATTTATCCTCTTAAGAACATCCTCTTTTCTGATAGTGATATTCTTTAATTTCTCTTCTTCCTTTCCGCTAAATATCAGTACCACCTCTGGTATTTCCTCGCGAATGTCTTCTGTGAAAACTGATAAGAAGTAGTTGTTTAATGCTTTGCTTATTTCTTCACTACCATTTATCACTTCTACCCTCCCTGATTTTAAAGGCCCATCTTTGTCCTTGACTATTATCTATATACCTGGAAAAATCCCTTGGGATTCGCCTTGGATTCACTTTCTTTTCTGATTTCATAGTCTCTCTTTGCTTTCCTTACATTTTTCTTAACATTCCTAGATAGTTCATTATAGCTATTTCTGAGCTGCTCCTCCCCTCCCTTTAATTTCTTATAAATTCATTTCTTTATTCCCATGTCATGTTTAAGTTTTCTGGTCATCCACCTTGGCTCATTCTTATTTGACCTAATTTTTCTGTGTGGTATATTTTGTTCTTGTGCTTTATGTAGTATACTAGTGAATATATTATAGTCATGATCAATTGTTGTGTCATGATCAATTGTTGTGTCATCTATGACCTCACCCCTTCCTACTGGGGACTGACGTGACTGTTCCCAGGTGACCTCACCTAGGTACCTTCTTAACCCCTGATAATCCGCCAACCGAAAGTTTGGGACTCTGACCATATTGTCATTGTTTTTCGTTTCCCAATTTAGGGTGAACCTGATTTATCTGTGATCACTGTTACCTAGTTCTTCCCCTACTGTGATATCTCTGATAATATTTTCTTTATTTGTTATTACTAGGTCTAATATATTGTCACCTCTAGTAGGTTCTGTAATTAGCTGTTTCAAAAAATTGTCCGATACTGCGTCTAGGAAGTCTTCAGATTCATAGTCACCTACAAATGAGCAATAATTTGAGAAATGAGCAATAATTTGAATAAATTTTTTTCAACAGTTTTCACCACCGAAAATTTAAACATGATACCCGAGGCACCGACTCTATTCACAGATAGTGAAGAAAACAAATTGAACGAGATAGTAGTGACTGGTAACGATGTTAGTAAGCAAATAGACAAACTAAAGCCTAATAAGTCACCTGGTCCTGATGAGATATTTGCCAGAGTATTAAAGGAATGTAAGGAAGAGCTTAGTATGCCCTTCGCAAAGTTGTTTAACATGTCCTTGAAAACAGTTGTAGTACCAGAATCCTGGAGGATAGCGAATGTAATACCGATTTTCAAGAAGGGGGATAGATCACTATCCTCTAACTACCGCCCAATCAGTCTAACATCAATAGTAGGCAAATTACTGGAAGCAATCATTTCAAACTCTATTCGAAATCACCTGGAGAAGCACCGATTGATCAATGATTCCCAGCATGGCTTCAGAAGCGGACGTTCTTGTCTAACTAATCTATTTACATTCTTTTCATCAGTCGTCGAATCGATGGACGAGGGG